ACCTCCAAGCCTGCTCACTGCCATAAACAAACTTTATTCCCAGTGGCAAACATATTCTTTACACAGAATTTCACATTATGGGGATGCAATGAACTCAGAAGATTTTTTAAACTGGCATTGGTCAACCAGACACCTACATGTGCTTAGTCAGCCTCACTGCAAGAAAAAAGATGGGAATTTAAACAACCACCTGAGACCAAGTATTTTTCTCCATATTCAGCCATGTATTAGTAAACATGAAATGCAAAGGGAAAAAGTGAACCCATACATTGTACAGATATACTGCCATAGGTGTTCTAGTATGATACCTCTGTAGATCAGTAAAACCAAAGCCAAACTTGACACTTAGGTGAATATGGAATTAGAGAGTTTTTTGGCAGACCTAGGCCTCATTAAGCACCACTTGACAGGGTATCATTGAGATGACACCAACACTTAAGGCACTACTTTGGGGAAGTGCTACAGCCTAAGAACATCTGCACATGCTCTACAGAATAAGGCAGAAACAGGAGGTTCAGCTGGGTCCTAGTGAGGCTGAGGACCAAAAGAAACACAAGGACAGGCCTCTTCTTCCACACCCAGAAGCTGCTCCAGTCTTTGAGCTGAAGACTTTCTGGTCAGGGAATTTTGAGAAGCTGATCCTGCAGCAGCCCCTGCAGCCAACTGACATATACAAAGGCAGAAGCAGATCCTCAGATGCATCTTGTACATTCCACAGCTTCCCCACACTGACCCAGAAATTTCTGTTTGGTGCTACACCTACCTACCTGAGGTACATAGCCTGTCTCCATCATGAGAAGATGAACCAGAACGATCAAGGCATCTGTGGCACTGGTACACTCAGCAGAAAGGTAGAGCACCTCTAATGAATGGGGTATTTCACCATCAGCAGCTTCACTGCACAGCATGGGTTCGGAGGGATAGGAACCTGTACCTTCTTCCAGGTCAGCATCCTCTGGGACTAATCCAGAAGAAAATTCTAGACTGGATCCTGCCTTCAGGGGAAAGCAAAACATAATTTTTTTCAGAAAACTACACCTCTATATATATCAACTTTATACATCTGCTTATTCCAGCCTGATTTCCCATACGAGTTGTACAAATTCCTTACACCTCCATTTTCTAGCACTCCACATGAGGACTGAGATTATAAATGTAGCCTTTGAATTTTTTAATCTTTACAATGTAAAGACCCTTCATGAAAGGGTCTGTCATTTTATTGCATATACTGAAGACAAAGTGATGATAATATATTAAACCTTCATTGGAATTTTTGCAACATATTCAGGAATAATTTAATCAGTACAGAATCACCATTTATTTAAACTTAGCAAATATTCATGAAAAGCAACCAAAATGGTAACTTGGGCTGCCAACAAACACAACAAGCCTAAACAGCAGTGAGGGGGAAAAAAAAAACCAATCAGTGGAGTGCACCTGCTGTAACCTGAGGACTGTGGCATCATTGTAGCTTCTTTTCTTCTAAATCATGGCATGTTATTAATTATATGAAAAAACTACACACAGACACATTATTTTAAAAAAGCAGAATGAAAACTGTAAGCAGATTTACATAATGTGAGGGTCAGGAAAGTGGGGGAAAAAAGAGCCTGTCTTTGACACTGCCTGTTGCATCTGCTCCAATCTTGAATCAGAAGTTAGCGCAGGTAAGGTAAGAAACATAATCCTAACTTCCTTAAGTTCATGTTCCAGCAAAAACATTTACTCCTGTAAACCTGAAAAACTCTGGGCTCTCTGAACTAGCCCTGTGCCACAGGAACATACAATGGATAGAGACAAGTTTCCATTCAAATAACTGAGCACATATCAGACAAGAATAAGGAGCCAAATATTCTTAAGAAATTCACACCTCTATATTACAGCTACTGACACAATAGGATACCTTTCTTATTGCCTTGAGCTGTACAGTAAAATTCTCATGTACTTACCCTCTCATCACTCTCTTGAACTTCCACCTGAGCCCTCTCATTGTTAGGTTGCTCATTCTGCCCTTCTTCTTTTGGACTGTTGGCCTGACTTGTGTTGGGGGTCAAGGTGGACGGCTCATGACCATTCTGAAGCAAGGGTGGAGCAGAAGGAGGAGGAGGTAGGCTGGGTTGTCCATCTGGCTCTTCTAGTAACAAGCATATCAAATCTCCAGAAACAATGCCATATGAAGCTAAGGTCTTCTGATCCTCTGTCAGTGCATCTTTTCTGTTCAATGTTATTGAAAACGTAGTATCAGAACTGCAAAATAGTTTTTAAAAAAACAGTAAGGAAACATGGGTGGCTGCACTTGGATAGCCACACACTAGACTTGGCAATTGGTGCTACAGTGTAGTTGACCTGGTGGTGATTGGTCAAAGACTGAACTTGATGATCTTGTCCAACCTCAATGATTCTATGATTCTACAACTAGAAATGCGTAATGCATATTACAACAGTATTGTGTCATGGGGCTTAATCCATTATTAATTACCTATATGTTAAAGAAATAGTGAGGGGAAAAAAGATGATATGAAATTATTTCCCCCATGTTTATCACCAAGTACATTTTAAGTTGCTGTAGCTGCTTGGTAAATAAAACTTCGTTTACAGAAACTGCTCACAAAACAGTTATGAAGGAAAGCAACAAATGCCCTTCCAAATAGAAGGTATCACAGCTAGGAAAGCAAGATATACATAAACTACTGCATCGGATTATTTAAAAATAAATATTGAATTGAATAAAAAATTGAAGACTCAACCAACTTGCTGTCTCCTCAAGCTAAACAATTTCAACGATCAGCAGGTGTCCTGTAGAATGCTAGTTGCAAATGAGGGTAATAAGGTAAGATGCTTCAGGCCAAAAAAAAAAAAAACAACCCAGAAATGAAACTGGTTAGCAGGGCTAAAAAATACACCCACTGCGGCAAGACAAGCAGTAACTTCAGATTCCTCCTGCCCACACTGCTGTGTGAATCACCAGTGAAACACCAGCACGTCGGACCTAATTAAAGGTTTGTGACACAAACCCTCCAGCCAACATCAGAAAACGCTCCCCCCTTTTACAGGCGATTCATTTTCCTGCGGAGGATGCCGGGAGTTCTTCAGTTAAATTGTTTATGAAACTTAAACCGAGATTCTCCAGGAAGCATCAGAGAAGCCTAAAACTGAGACGCTACGGCATTTTGTAACTTAAGCGCCGCGCAGAAGTCTCAGTCAGCTCTGACCGTGCTGCAACCCGCATTTCGCAGCTCAGCACCCGCGGAGTTTTGCTTTCCCGCTCCGCAGTGCCCAGCGGGGCGCAGCCCGAGCCCAGGCCCTGCAGGAGCAGGGCGGCCGGTCCCGCGGGCCGCTAAA